TTTTTTTTTTTTTTTTTTTACAGACAGAAAACAGCTTTGGGGGTGCAAGGTGGTGAGGAGGTGCTGCCAAGATGCCAAAGTAACAGCATGGTCCAGATGCAGCTCAGAATCCTTCTCCTTGCTTTACATACACCCTCCTGCTTCATAATAGAAATGCAACTGCTATGGCAAGCCCTGCAATTTCTGCTTGCTTCTAGTCCCAATCCACCCCAGGTCTGCACCGTGGCAGTTAGAAAACTAGAATGTCGTGACGATCTCAGGTTTCACTCCATGTCATTGGGTGGTTTTGGTTTACTGTATGATGCAATGTAAAGCGACCCCCTTTGAGACCAATCGAGTGTAATGTGGATTGTCGGTCTTAGAGGGTGAAGGGGCTTGTCAGAGGGAAATTGAAGAATTGCAGCAGACTCGAGTTTCCTGCAGCTAAAGTTCCCCTGAAGACAGAGTTAATCAATTTCTGAAAGTTTTTTATTTGGAAGGAAGGTAAAAAATAAAAAAGGTCACAGTCCCAACTTTTCCTATAAACCCCCACCAGAAGTCTCAGAAGGTTTCTGGGAGAGGGTTTTCATCAAGATGGGTTTAACCAAAGGTTGGTTTATTCATATGTTGCAGTTGTGCAAGAGCTCAGGCTCTAGGAAGTATAATGGGTACTGCCAGAATGAAAAGGGGGGAGTGAGGGGAGGTGCATTTTAAATGCTATTCCCGGTTACCTTTCCTTGTATATTAGTCACCTAATAGGGCCCTCTTCCTGCTTAGCTAAAGAAAAAAGAGGAGTTCAGACACATGGAACAGAACGAGGGCTGCCTGGGAACAGGGGATATTAGAAAATGCCAGAAACAAAACCCATAGGATTCTTTAGCGGGATTCAAAGGTGCTTAAAGCTAAGCACATGTTCAGCTTAATGTTTTCCTAAAACACAGCCAGAGTAAATGACAGTCCTAGTCACAGTCCTTATAGTGTAAAGACTAGGTGTAATATGTGGATGGGGCAGGAATGGGCCTGGGTGGGGTGGGGAGAGACAAAGTAATGACAATAATACCTGCAAGTCCTGTTGTAGCTCTATTTCCAACCTTGGAACAGCAAGTTTAACTGACCCCCGCCACCTGCAACCAAAAAAAACCCCCAAAAACCTCATAATTGATTTTAGTTGATTAAATGATTGCATGTATTAAAAACAATTTTGGTTATTTTTTTAAGCCAACTTTTGCAGAATTTTGGATTTTAACTGTTTGACAGTTTGATAAAGTTGTTGCACTGCATTTGGGAAGGGGAAATGTAAGCACCCAGTTGGATCACAGAAGGACAAATTGGAAAGGCATGGTGCCTCCCAGGTAGCCAGAAAGCTAGAAAAAAAATCAAACCAGCCCATTTTTAAAGAGTTGATTATGCTTCTCTGAAGATGCTCCCCTCTGTTCCATTCATCTGCCCTAATTAGATGCAGGAGTCCATTTCTCTTTACTGGCCAAAGGCTGAAATTAAAAAACATGCTGCAAAAAACAGGGGCGAGGGACTCTTGAGTAATGGGTAAGTGGCTTCCCCGTGTGCATTTCTGGTGAGGATATTTGAACTCTGAGGCCAGAGCTGACTTGCAAATACGGATTTTAGCAAATGTATTTAAATGAAAAATATCAGCACAACACTGCAGCTTTGCAGATTCCCAACTCATGCAAGCAGTCTAGAAGGAAGGGAGGGTGTGAATTATTGGAAACCAGCAATTCAGACTACTTCCCCCTTATTTTACAACTCCAATTTCAGCTACTAGAATGCAGCTCAGGGTCTATTAAGCCTTTGATCTCAGACTCAAATCCTGGATACTTTCAAATGCTAAGAGCAACCTTGCCAACTTCTGTCTCTTTTATTGTGGGTCCCTCAATATTTGGTGATTTTCTTAAAGCCTCCAAACCCAGAGACACAGGATTAGGTGTGAATCTCAGTTTTCTTTTTAAATCAAAGAAGTTTCTAGCTCTCATGGCTATCATCAGCCCCAAAGGTTCACAACCCAGAAGGCAAATAAATTAACCCAAAAAGTATTTTCTAGAATTTCATGATTCTGAAACCAGTCTCGTAATTTGGAGCAGGGGAAACATAACTCATGATTTTTGAATACTTACGATTCATGGTGCTTCAGAAAGACTCTTTCATGGTGAGGCCTTGGCTTAGAAACACCATTGGACGCATGTGAGTAGTCACAGAACAATCAGGGCAATTACTCAAATGTTTAAATTTATGAATGGGCTTAAGTGCTTTCCTGGATCTGTGACTAAGACCTCTATTCAGCCTAAGTCTGAGTAGCAGAATTAGGGCCTTGATAATGGGCCCAAGTAAACCTGCGAGTCAGATATTGTTGAACTTTGAAATCCAGCCCCATGTTGTATCTATGCGACCTAGCTTGATTCCACCTCGCCAGTAAATTCACTTTGCTGTGCTGAGATTTACTTTTCCCTCAGAAAGGGTTTGATTTACAAGTCCCATTTTACATGTGCAATTACTATTGCAACAGGAGGGAGAGCAATAAAGCAGCAGCCCCAGCTATACGGGGATAGGGTGCAAATCAGACACCACATCTAGAAGGAAAGGATGGGAGCACCTTTTCCCTACAAAGAAAAAAAAGCACTTTCATAACCTCCTCCGTGAATCATGGCTTTCAGCCCTTCACTTTTTTGGCAGCGTAGGAGGTTGACAAGGAAAAAGAAACATGCGAATGAGTGAGACTGGCCAATCTTGTCAGGTTTCTGCATGCTTCATTAGCTCTGGCAGGCGATAGAAATGCAGATTACACTGTGCAAAAAGATCATAAATCACTTCTAGAGATTGGGGGGGGGACTGGGAAAGGAAGAAAGGGGCAGTTCATCTCTGAGAACAGTGTCTAGGTGAGGCCAAATCAATGCACGCATCAGCAGGGCCCTTTGGAGAAGAGGTTTTGCAATGACAGATTTTTAGGTAAAAAAGAGCACATTCCACTAAATGACTCAAGAAAATACCTGCATCCCCTACCCTGCAAACCAGTATGCCTGAGCTTAACTTTGCATTGTTGAGTAGTCCCAGTGGCACCAGTAGGATGACTCAATTGGACAAAGTAAAGCAGTTTATAGCCATTTGCAGGAGGAAGGGCTAGGGGGCTACCATGGGCTTCTGCACCCCTATGAGCTGGTTTATATGCAGCCATGGTCAAAAGGAAGAGACTGGGGAATGCGACTAAAAACAGAGGGTGCTAGTGGTGCATAGTGCTGCAAGGTGCCAGCAGTAGTGGAGAAGTGCTGCTCAGTGAGGGCTCTGGCTGCAGTGACTACGTGATCTCACCTTGTTCCCTGAGATGCACCTGAAGCTACACTAAGCAAAGCAGGGTGAATTTCCTGTTCTTCAGTCAGCCAGCACAAAGCCTAAGGCACCTCCTCTAGCTTGAGCCAAAGCTTGTTGAATGCAAGCTTTAATATGCACTTCACTGGGGTTTGGAGCCACCCTTGGTCCCACTGAGGTGGTGAGCAGATCTGGCACGGGCTCTCACCATAGGGCTGATTGCTGAAACAGCAGAGAGTATTTCTGGAACATAATGTCAAGACGACCTGTGTTCAAATTTTTCTGCTTATTATGACGAGTATTTGCTTTTACTCCCTAAGGTAGAACCTAGAGGCCAAGTCAGGGCCCTGGTGGGCTAAGTGCAGTACAAACAGGTAACAAGAACAAGGGCTCTGCCTCAATTCAAAGTAGCAAAAGTGTAACTGAGATAGGTCAGGGCTTTTACCTCTTTCCTTCCTTTGCTGTGACCACGTGTTACTCTGGGCGCATCTACACATGCGCATTTACTGCACAGTAATGGAAATTACTGCATAGTACGGGCGCACCTCTACACGTGCACACCCGTACTATGCAGTAAATATGGTGACTTACACCACCTTGAGCATAAATTTGATACCTGATTAGTTATTGCACAGTACTGCACGTGTAGATGCCTTACTGAGCAGTAACACCGTGTGTGTGGACAGACTTGGGACTAACTTTAATACAAAGACCGCACACAGCACTCATGTGCTTTAATACCTGCATGTGTAGACACCTGCCTATTCCCACTTACTGCACAGTAACTTACTGTGCAATAAATGTAAGCTGACGTAAATGCACATGTAGACATGACCAGTGTGTATGGTGTATTAGGCCAAAAGAAAATTAAAGCAGGATTTCAGTTGGATTTTCTTTTTTTTTTTTTTTTAATAAAAAGGAGTAATCTCCACTGGGAGAACTTGGAACAAATCATTTGGATGAGGCAGGATGTTCATATTTTGCATATTTTTCTGAGCTATCCAAGAACACTTGGATGATCCAGAGCCATCATTTTTTGCATCTAGTAGGGGGGGTGGAAATGGTGTTATAATTTAAGTGAGTTTTTGGCCTGAAAGCATGCCTGTGCTACATGTTGACCCCTTGCCCAAGGTTTAGTTGCAGCATCTTCCGAGTATCAAAGATAGAGGGCAGAAGGATGATTTCACCTTCTAAGTGGGTCAATGTGTGCTGTGGTTTATAACTGCAACTGCATAGGGCAGAGTCAGTTATCCCCAGTGTGAATCGAAGTCTGCAAAGATTTACATAAATGTGTCATAGTTGATATGTAGCTCTTATATAGGGTTTTCCATCTATTGATCTCCAAGTGCTTTACAAAGGAGATCAGTAACATTACTCCTGTTTCACTGTTGGGGAATTGAGGCATATATACATAGTCACTCATTTTTCTTCTGGGGCAAACACAGTGCTTATGTAAGCACATGCAACTACTCTGTGAAGCCACTGGAGCTGCTCACACTTGCATCATTGATAGTAATGAGAACGTGGTTAGGATACTAATAACAAAAACATACATATCATACATCTTGTTATTAGTATCCTAACCATGCTCCCATTACTATCAATGATGTAAGCATGAGCAGCTCCATTGACTTCACAGAGCAGATGCATCTGCTTACACAAACATGGAGTTTGCCCCAGAAGAAAAATGAGTGAATTGGTTTAAAAGAACTGTCCTGGACATATCGATGTTCAGGCCTTTGCCTACTGCCCAGCTTTTCATCGCA